CTAAACACTAACAGGAACAACACTCTGTCCTGAAAATGCTTAATATGTAGCTTCAGATTAAAAATTATGGGGTACAAGACAACTATATATAATGCTGACTAGTGGGTGTCACGTGAGTGTGCGCGTACGCGTGCATGCACGCACGTGTGTGTGCGTGTGTTAAGCCCCGGATGTTCTTCAGTCCTTAATCCGCCCCTGCTCATCCCTACCCCTCAGTGGCGAAGGATGTTGTTGTTTTAGCGTCCAGGAAATAGCAGAGAACGTCTCGGCTAGTATAGGCTAATCGTTAGCATTAGCAACTCCGCCACACTGCAGAACTCCTCCAGGCTTGTGTTATTTGTGGAGATAAAGCGTCAAAGTTGCAGATCAAACAGAATCAGTGGTAGAGCCGTGTTGCTGTTAGCCAATCCGAGGCGAGATGTCCAAATACCAGGAAATATGACTCCAAATCCTCTCGTCTGAAGCTCAGCTCCGATCTGGCTCGTTTCTAGTTTGTGAAACAGGTGCACCAGAGCTGCTCCAGAGCAGGTTTGCAAGGTGAAATGTAACAAAAGCAGCCCTAACAACAACATCATAAATTATGTAACATTCCTGCAACAGTGTAAATCATCTGTCTGAGCTGACTCATGCATTAGTCTTATTGGAACTGGAAAGAAAAGCAAGTTAACGTCTCCCCAAAACTGCTGCAAAGCCTGATGAGATGAGCTGTACTGCCACTGTGATCAGGACTGCAGCCACGGGGTGAGATATCTTAGGCGGCTACGGTCATCGTGCATGGCTGTGCTTCAGCAGTTATGATTATAGCAAAGGCATTTGAGTGAAATACGAAAGACACGCTGGTCTGTGTGAGCAATGAGCCAGCATGGCTGTGAGGCTAAATGCTGTAGCAGTCCCATCAGTTTCAAGAACTTTTGTGATAACAATGACTTTCTGTTAAGAAGTGCAGTTAAGGAGATGGAGCATCTTTAAAAAGCAGTAACAGTCAGTGCAATGTTCTCAGTTAAACCACCACAGAACCACTGCAGTTCAAAGCTGGAAGCTTTATATTTTCTACTCTAACCCCATTTGAAAGAATCAATCAGCAATCAAAGGCTAAATGCACCAAATGACACTCTACTCTCTCCAGAGCGCTTATCTAGGCAGAGTATTACATTTGAACCCTACACATAGTTCACAAAGAATGCATAAAATGGCTCAGGTGTTGACTGATGACCTACTTCAAGTCTTCTTAAATTTAAAAATAATAAAAAGCCTTGTTTTCTAAATTCATTTACACGACATGCATCTCGGTTTGGAGTCTTCAGAGAACTGTTGCTGGTTTATTTACTTCATATCTCTGGTAAAACAGTGAGGACATATCAAAGAATCCCTGCCTTTGAGCTGGTGGAAGTTATCTCCTCATAAGACATGAAACAACCCCGGGAATGTCTTCAGTAGGCTATCTACCCAAAGGAAATAAATTATCAAAAGAATGTGTGTGAGCATGAAATCCTAAAACAGAATTTTTGATCAATTACACAAATTGAGACACTTGTTAAACAAATGATTATCTGAAAGGAAAACAGCATTTAAACACGCAAGATATCCTAAACGTCAAGGATTTTGACTTGAAATACAAAGAATATGAGTATTGCAATGAAAAAGTGCAAAAGGTGTGAAATTACAACACTGACAATCGTTTCAGATGTAGGGGTCAAGGCCAGCTGATAGACGGACAAGCTGCAGAGGTTTTTGGCCGATATCTAGATGGTTTCTGCCTTAACTGTGTGCTAAAATGTCCTTAATAACAACAGGCTAATATTGGCCCAATATGTCGGCCGACTGATATACTGCTCAATCCCTAAATTCAGGTAAAACTCAGGTGTGGTCTATAACAGAAGAGCTGCTGTGACGTGTGTATGATGGGCTTACTTTTAACCCAATGTGGTAAGTAAGTAAATATCAAGATAATGTGTAAATAAAAGTTTTAGCCTAGTCATTCCTGATTTCTTGCCCGTTGTTTTTGTTCTAACAGAAATAAAATCTAATTTCGTATGTTTTACCTGAACGGAAAACGTGTTTCTCTCCCTGGGCCTCAGATGGGGAGTATTGATGAGATAACGTCAGCATAAATACATTTATGCCCAGCCATCATCTATATGGGGTGGCATTAGGGGTTGTATGAACTAGTCGACTTCACTGCTCTGTAGTGACTTTTTATGCCTGTCATCGACTAGTCGCTGTCACGTGATAATGACTGACGAGATGCAGTCCTCGGAAAAGACAGCAGGTGACGGGCCCCTGCGCGTCGGGAGGCGGAGGCGACGCGCTGTACCAGAGCGTCGGTACTGACACCGGCGGTAAAACGGACATTTAACCAAACTGTGACCTTTTCCCCCTTGCAATTTAACCTTCCCCTCACCCCCATCCTAATCTTAACCAGTTTGCGCATGCAAAGCTCTGATCGTTGACGCGCTCCAGACATCTGCGTCCTGAGCACGGCCACAGTAACATTATCAAATCAGGTGTCGCCACCTCAAAAACTAATTAAACAAGCGATCGTTCATGTCGGCTCATTTCCTTTAATGTTTTCTGTCTTTTATTTATGCCTGATGCGTCAGCCTGAGGAAGTTTGCAAACGAAGCGTAGCGGGAAAACAGGTAACAAAACTGTTCTGTGTTTTAAAAAAGAACTACAGCATGGAATTAGAAACACGACAGAGCAAGAACACACCTAAGATGAGATGATTTTTGTTTGAATCTGCTGATAAGAGGGCACTTGAATTGAATTTTTTCCATACTCAGAAATTTGAGATATTCTCATATTTATTTTCTAAGTTGATGAATGAGTACTCAGGATTACTCATGTAACTTGTTTCTACACATACTTGAAAAGTATTTGACTGTATTACTTTCAAAGCTACTGTTAGGTAACTACAGGTTTGTTATATTTTACAAGGTAAGCAAAAATAAATGTTGCCTTTTAGTCAAAAGATTGTTTCTGTTTACAGTTTTAGAATCACTTTAGTTTACATAGTAAATTTGCATTTTTGGAGCATGACCAGTTTAAAGTCAAATAAAACTGTCCCATAGCTTTAACTAACTTGTACAACAAAGTAGTTAGAATAGAATAGAATAGAATAGAATAGAATATCCTTTATTGTCACTGTACACACTCGTACTACGAAATTTGGAAGCCACTCCCGGGTGCAAGTTGAAAGAAATACATAACACTTAACAATTAAAATTCAATCAGGACAAATACTTCCCTGTAAGAAATACATAACACTACAATAATTAAAATTCAGTCTGAACAAATCCTTCCTTCATAAATTGTATCAAATTAGAACCATGCAGCTTGTGTGGTTCCATCAGGGCTACACCTGCAAACATTAGATAAAATAAGAACATGTCCTTTCAAATTAGTTAATCTTGGAGCTGACCTCTTTGTTAATACTGATTGTGAATCGATTTAAATTGAGAATCGAGAATTGATTCTGAATCGAATCAGCACCCCGAGAATCGGAATCGAATCAAATCGTGAGTTGCTCTAAGATTCACATCCCTAACAAATATATACACTATTTCAAAAGTAGAAGGCTCGTTACATATTTATATTGAAACTTAAACATATAACGTTACCTCCCGTGTGACGTGACGTAACGTGACCGTCGTGGAAGCCGCGGTCCCGTGATGCAAGTCTGTTCCATTTATAACAGTTCTCTTTGACCAAGAAACGACAGTGTCCTCGTAAGCAAGGCGCCTGGCCTCACAAGACATCGCCTTGCAAGGCCAGGCGCCTCGACATTAAAAACACCCCATATCTTTCTGCCGCTAGTTTAAAAAATTACAGTAAATGTTACATGTGGAGCAGAAAACATGCAACCTTGGGAGTGACTCCTCAGACTTTGATGGCCCTTTCTTTAATTCCATGAGAGAATCCAATGCCAATTGTAGTTTTCTGGCGCAGAAATTTTCCCTATCTGCTCGAGGACCTGTGCCCGCCGATGACATCATCATACTACAGCAATACGCTCGGCCAAAATATATATAGTTTTTTTTTCCAATTATGTTTTTTCACATATGTTTATGAATGACTTTAGCAGTTTTGTTATTAAATTCCTTACTGCCTAAATGATTTTGAACAGGTTAATGCAACTTCTGTAGGTCGTACATCCAGCCAGTCATCTAGGGTGATGTCAATGACAGGCGCAGGACCCCGAGCTGGCCAGAAGGAAACATGGCGTCCCCCAAAGTCGCTAGACCTATGTACTTTAGACCCAATTTTTATAGTTATATGGTACAACACCAACAAAAACAACCGGACATCATTTTATTCATTTTCAACAGCGTTTCGATGGATATCTCCAGAGATTAAAGGTAAAACTACTGATAGTCTCTTCAACTATTAAATTCTTCTGTCTAGTTTATTGATATTAGAGCAAGAAAAGCTTCATGTTGAAAAGTGAGAAGAAGTGGTTGTGTACAAATCTGAAAAGCCTTGTGTAAGATGTACAATGAACCCCGACAGCTCTGGTGCAGCTGGTCCGTAAACAGAGCTTCAGCTGTGCTACGCATCTATTGCGAGTTATGTCACTTACTGCTGAGAATGTTCATTCATTTGTGTAACTAGAAAACAGGACATTTAAATAAAGCACATCAAAAGTTTAACCCATCAAGATTCACATTTCTGATAATAAAAAGGCTCTTAAATTCAAAAGGTAAACAAAACTGAAAATAAAAGCAACTCGGATATTTTCTTTTGGTTTTGTGAACGTATTGGATTGTTTTTTATTTGTCATCTTACGTATTGTTGCATTTGCAATTAGCTATAGTAAAATTTCATTCTAAAATGTCTGCTATTCTTCAGCTTATGCTAGCAGCTAATGCCATTTCTGGTATTTCATGCTCCTCAAACGTAACTGAAAGTAGCACACGATACAGACCCATGCATGTTGCATGAAGCAAAGTATAAGTTATAAGGGATCGTGCTGTGTGAGCCAGCGAATGGTGTTCTCTTACCTGCAGCAGGTGAGTCAGATGCGATCACAGTTACCAGCACTGTTATCCCCAGAAACAGCATTCGTTGAACGAGAACCTTGAGCATCACCACCAAACCCACAGAGGAGACTAAACCTGCCATGGTGCGGTGGGTGAGGGTCAAGGCATTTCATCCAGTTAGGAAGAGGAGGTTCATTGCAGAGAGAAAACTGAGGCTGGGGTAATTTTAGGTTGTTTGGTTTGGTCTTCTTTACTTTATGCCTCCTCTTTTCATTTGCATCCTCGGCTGGTGGCTGCAGGAAGACAAAAAAAGGCACAGAGTGGCTCAAAAATAAAGCAGACAAGCTTGAATTTACAAAAAAAAAAAAAAAACTGTACACATTTCCTCCATCAGTCACAACAGGCAGTTACTGGACTAAATAAGCTTAGCATGTCATTTTAAAAGAAATAGAGGCTTGTATAAATGGTCAGTAATATACAAGCAGTGGGCTTTAATGTGTTTTAGCTGAGTTCACGTTTGTTTTGAATGTGGAGAAATGAGGTCAGAGGGATCACCCACACACTGGTGGTATCCCACCTCACAAGGACAGGATCATGAATGTGGTCTGCTTTTGTTTTTATTTTGTAGAAATGTATTTTTGGAATTCTAATGAGAAATAAAAATAGATAGAATTTAAAAATATTTTTTCTGTTATTATAAGGAGACGGGTCGGACTAGAATGACATCACACCAGCTCTGCTCTCACAGGACTAAGATTCTGATTAGAATGGCTAAACAAACCAAGCTCCGTTGGTCTCATCGGTCTCTTGTCCTACATCCCGTCCCGTAACTTGTAAGCTCATGTGGCTCTCCATAATAAAGCGAGACAAAGCTGGCTACCACCCTCCCTATGAGTGTCACTGTAAAATGCTAAAAACTGGTTTGCATGGACTAACTTTGGTATAATTTCTTAGAGCTAGGTCTAAAAGCGCAGATGAAACGTCTTTTGTCCGCTGTCCCCCCTCTGTCCGTGCTGCGTGTCCTCATAGCTGAGCACACGCAGAGACTTACCCCAGGAAAACCTCCGTCTGAGTCAGCTTCAGTGAGGAGAAAAAATATCCCTTTGAAGACACAAAACCTGCTGGAAGCTCTCCTCTTGTAACCTTCACGCGAGCTCGTCCTTGCACGTAAAGTTCAGTCAGCGTAGACGCGCCGCACACGCGCTAGCAGCCGCGTTGATCTGACACTCTTTTGGAAACAGTTACCTTTCCTCGTCTTGATTGGCCAAGCCCCGCCCCCTGACAGCTCTGATTAGGTTCTAATTTACCAACCCCTTGCTCTGATTGGCTGAGGCGCTTTTCCGTCACGTTAGGAATTTAACATTATTAGGTTGCTCATCCATGACTGGCGTCTGCGGCTCCCACGGCAACGTTGCTTCATGCAACATTACGGGTGGACGAATTCGTGTCAGCTCGTTCAGAGGCTAAGTAGGAGTATTGTCATGCAAGAGCTAAACAGCTGAAGAGTCACCACGTTTATTTCTGGGTGAATTGTAATTATTAATTTTTCTATTAATAAATTAGAGTTTGTGTTTAACTTTTCAATGACGTCATCATGTATTACCATCGTATTAACCCATTAAAAGACAGCGTTTGCACTGAAGAGACAAAATTATTATATTCCAGATAGGTTATTATTATTAATAATAACAACAACAACAATAATAATAATAATAATAATAATAATAATCAACCGGATGAGGTGATTTCAGGGTTTAAACTTTAAACCTGGCCTGCTTCAGCAGCCTGTAAGAAAAATTTTGTGTCTGAAATGAAACGGAGATGATCAGCAGAAGCCACACTTCAGTGCTGATTCCTGCAGAAGAAAATGTTGGTGCACACTGACATCTAATGGTAGCATACGGTTTGACTGACGTCACTGTATATTGATCAGTTTTATTATCATATTTAGTCAAGAAGGACTATGATTCAAGTGAAAGATGTTTTTTTTAATCAGGAAGAAGTATAAGTATTTCTAACCAAGCATCTTGATTAAAAGTAATGTTAAAATAATACTGCACCAAATTTGGGAATATACAATGCTTTCTTCTCTTGCTGAATGTGTCTAAAAGACATTTGTTCCGTCAAGACTCAATTTATAATAAATAAAACACCTTTTTATTTTTAATCACCCCACTTCTAAAGTAAATTAAATTGCTCCATCAGTCAATTGAAACAACAAAACACCAATATTTTATGTTGCACATATAAAAAAATATATTTTTAAAAGCTTTTTCCAAGACCACAACTTCCTGAAACTCTTAAGTCTCAGTTGTGTAATACGATTCAATATGATAATGTATTTAACTAAAATGATTCAGTTACAAGCATAAATGAACAAATACATAAACAAAATAAATAAATAAATATAAACAACCTCAGTTTGGAGAACTTGGCGTTCCCTGAGCGTGTTTGAATTTGGCCCTCTTTTGTTGATTTTATTTCCCTGTTTTTATTGGTCTCTTTATCCCTTGTTTTACCCATTTGTCTTCTACTTTAATGTTTTACCCTTTTTGCACTATTTGAATTGCTTTTATTTTCGATTTATTCATCATGTTTCACATTTCTCATGTACCATGTTCAGCGCCTTGGGCTTCCCGACAGGGTCGCTTTATAAATAAAGCTTTGATTGATTGATTGATGGATTGATTGGAGAAATCAAGATTTTGACTTGGTTTCATGAGCAAACAAGCTAACAGCTAACCAGACTGGGAACAAGTACACATGAAAATTAAATAGAATTAATCCTAATGTCAAAATTTTAGCTAACTTTATGCAAATAAAAGCCGTTTTAAATGTTTTATATTGACACATTTCATGATTATTGCTGCAGAATCATTATGATATTCCAGCCAAAGTAAATCTTTACTTTAAAACGCTTTTTCTTAAGGTAATAAGTTTTAGAAAGCCTGTTTAATTGCACACACACACACACACACACACACACACACACACACACACACACACACACACACACACACACAGGTGCAAAAAAAACAGGAGACAAGTGCCGTGACTTAACAGTTTAATGTAAATCCAAGACAAAGTGTGATTACATTTCTACACATATACAATATGCATATGTGAGCATACAAATTCTCATTAATAACTCGATTCACCTCTGAGACCGAAAAAATGATCAAAAGTAACAGTGAATAACAAGCTATAACATAGTTCACCACAACGCGAGCCCCTTCTCATCCTACAGTTAGTAAGGAGGACAATTAAAAGAACTACTCTTCTATTTGATGAAGCTGTTTGTCTATTAAAACCCTCCAGTAAAATTTACAACGGTATCATTAGTTTATTTTGAAGCCTAGTATAAAAATCACTCAATTTTTCTACAACGAAAATGATGTAAGAGAAGCACACAACGTCGTAACGGAAACACAAGCGCTTGGTAGAATGTACTCGGACTTGTTAGGAGGTTTGATTAATCATTCTTCTTATTGTCAATAATTATATGTATTTAAACATTCTACAAAGCCAGTAAAATAACCATTCTCATAACATACTTGATAACTTTAGGCTAAAGAACAGGGTATACGTAAAAAACGCTACATTGAAATAATGTGACGTCACTCCCCAATGAAACAAAATGTAAAAATTGAGAAAAAAGACAAATAACAGAGAATACTAGGAGATACTGCACACCTTAACGTCGTTGACAAAGAATGAAATATTACAACATTGAGAAACCATACAGCAATGGAAACAAAAGGGGGTCAGGGTTTGATGCTCTCTTAGGTCCTTATCGGTAGCTATTTATCTCTAGTTTACTGAGAATAAAAATTCCTCCTAACATGGACTTTGGGGTTTAACCCTCTGGAGGCAGGCGTTGCAGATTTGCAACAGTTAAATCCTACCTACCTGGTTACTCCACACACGTATTTCATGAGCATTTTTTAACTCAGAAAGTACCCCTGAAAGACTTAGTTGTTCGTCCTTTTATCCAAACTTACTTTGAGCCTGAGAGGGTTAAAAGTCAGAACATAAATAAGCTTCAAGATTGCAGTCTAGAAAAATAAAACCAGTTTCTATCTTTCAACTGGTTTTAAATGACTGATGTGTGAACGAGGTGGGGAATCCGGTTTGAATCGGTTTTGGTTCTTAAATGATTTGCACGCGACACATTAAGCGAAAACGCCACCCATCCATGATGGCATCAAACCATGACCACCCCACCCTGAATTCCCCCGAGGAATAGCCAGCGAAAAGATCACATCCCTTTGTTATAGCTTAAAGAAAGCGAAACAAAATAGGAAAATATCTGAATCCAGAAACATAATGATTTTTATTATTATTATCATTATTATTATTATTATTATTAATATTATTATGCATTCCCTGGTGATTTTTCCTGCCTGAACTTTGGGAAGCAGCCTTGGCTTCATGTGGTTTGATTTTGCAGATTAGAACACTTGTTAAGCTTTGAGATGACTAATGTATCTGTGTGCACGTGTGTGTGTGTGTGTGTGTGTTTCAGGAGTTTAAAGACTAATACCAAGAGCAACATTAGAAATTTGAGTAAATTTTAAAAATTACTGAAAAATTCAAAGGGATGGATGGAGCGGCTGCCTTGTTTAGTTTTCTCTAATTTAAACATCACCTTAAAGCTCGGAGGTATCGTTGGTTATTTGGAAGGCAGTAGTTAAAAACAAAGTTGGGAAGGCTAGAGTCGCCTTGGCAACACGAAACCTTTTTACGCGACACTGAAGCACAATGGTGCTCACGTTTCTGATTACCACTTCTTTTTTTAAATACACAAAATACAAAACACTGGTTATGTGAAACAGAAACACGGATCATGTTTCTTTTGAAAGGGGGGAAAAGACCATTGATTATCTCGTTTTCACGTGAATTAGTGGTATTATTTTATCATCAGTCTCATGTGGGATTCAGCCAGAGCTCATTATTGCCTCATGCATGTCCACAAACGGTGCACCCCAAAAAATACCCCTTTGAGAGAGATCTAAAGCCATGTCAAATGTCGTCGGGTCACATATTACATTCATTTTGTGCAGGTGACCGTGATTTTAAAGGTTTTACACTCTTGATAATTCACCTTTACAGGTCTTTCTGTGCCTCAGAACACTAATGTCTATAGAAATTCAGTTTTTCACAGCAATAATAAAGCTACAACATCGACAACAGAAGAGTTTAAAATCTTTTGGGGAGAAGTTGTGTCATTATTCAGAACTGATTAAACTGGGGGTCAAATGTCAGAAATTATAGAAGTAGTAACTGCGGATAAAGAGCTCTTTAGAAGGCTGAAAGGCCGCAAATAAGTGAATTTTCTGCATGAATGAATTCTGCTTAATGCTCACTCATTATGGAGAAAAGGTGTTGAAAGCATTTTAAGATGAGACCAGCAGTTATTGCCATGGCGATGCGGTGGAGGGTTGTTTGCTCTGTACTGTGCTGTCATGTGCGTGGTCCATCTCTGAAGATCTTTGGTGGGACGAGAAAAGAAAAGAAAAGAAAAGAAAAGAAAAGAAAAATGACGGGACGGGGAGGTCAGGACAGTAGCGGGTAATGCTAAATTCCCTCAGACAGTGGAATGTTTCAGTAGTTTGTCTTGACAGAGATACAAAATGGAAAGTCCTCCTCCGTACGCGTGTGTGCTCAGGTCTCAGGAACCCAGAGGAACTTAAAAAGACACTCAAAACGTCAGAACGTAGACAGATGATGCAGCCAGCAACATACTTTATGACATTTTCAAGTGCCTGGACCCATGGCTTGCACGCTGGAGAGTTTTTGAGGAAAGTACCAGGATGTTGGACTTCAAATCTGGGTGTTTGCACCCCCCACAGCCAAGCATGGATCTAACTGAGTGCCAGTAACAATCAACTCTCTGCTTTCTATCCTCAGCAGTGTGGCATCACTTTACACAGGTGCACCCACCTCCATGGAATACTAAAATATTACTGTACATCAGGTTACACAAGAAAAAAAATCAAAAATGAGCCAGAAATCAAATAATAATAATAATAATAATAATAATAATAATAATAATGATAAAAACACACACACACGCTTTGAAAAACATCCACGAGAATTATTGCAACAATCTCTAAAAAGAAACACAAAGTGTAACTACAACCTTTAAAAAAATTCAGATAATGTTAATTTAAAAATAATAAAATAAAACACACTTCAAATGCGAGTACTATGGCATACCATAAATCAGAGAAGGCTTTCACTAAACGTTGTCAAATCTTAAGCATCCATGTCCAATCGCACACACAAGCAGGAGTGATGGTTTGAATTATTGGCTATGATAAAAGGACACACACACACACACACACACACACACACACAAAGCGACAGCCCTATTGGTTCACCGGGTGTTTCGGTATCCCGTCTGGTTGGCGTGGCGATGTCTAGGGTGTACCTGGGCCGAAGACAAATGGATGACAAACCATCCACTAGACTTCTTCCACGCTGTCATCTCCTTTCTGTTTCTCTTCACTCCAAGTTTCTGTTTTTTGGGGAGAAACCAACAGCAGCAACAGACGAGAACAAATTCCTAACATCAATTTAAGTGTGCGTCTCCTACCAACCACCTGGGCTCCGTGTTCCTCTCAACCTGCTCATTGCCAACTTGATACCATTTTTGTCCCATTTAAGATAGAGTTTCCCTTCCTAAACGGACCCTAAGCGTTCAACCAGCCCCGTACCTCGCGCCCACACGGTCTCTCTCTTTAACGTCCCTTGACGCTCTGTCTCCTAGCTGCAGACGGGCAATCTCCGGCCTCACCGAATCACCCTCATGGCAACAATCGCTTTCTGTCAGGCTCTTCCCTCAGACAAGCTCTTAACCTTTACAATAATAGTAAAATAAAACTCAAACATTATGCTGGAATTCGTATTTAAACACAAAACCTAGCTAAGATCCGTGCTTGCTAATTGCGTCACAATTTCGTCTACGAAGAACAAATTTCATCCCATAGTTTGGGTGCCACTGTGACAGAGCTCTACAGCCTCAGCTACAACAGTGCATTTGCATATTCACACCAATAGCATGCTCTACAGTAGCAAAAATAGATCATGACGTGAAGTTGCAATGCATTGTGGGATGTAGCCCTAGAGAAACTAGTGTGCATTTTGCATGGGTGCCTATGGGCCAGAGTCCTTCTGCTCGTCCCAAAGTTGTAGTTTTGTCTCCTAAATATGTTCGAACGGGAAGGAACCAAGCACCACTGTTGGGGGTGGTGATAATCGGACTCTAGGTGCCCAGATCGGATGTCGGGGTGGGGGGTGGGGGGGGGGGGCCGGTGGGACGACGACATTCTTCATCCAATTTCCAAAGCCGAGTAAGGCCAGCGACAAGATGAAACAGCTGGAAAGGGAAACGGATCAAGAAGACAGAAAAAGCAAAGTGGTGGCGGTATTTAGGAAGAAGAGTGGATTTTTAATGTAGGCAGCAGATCATGGCATGTGCATATATTTGTTCCATACATTTTGCCAATAGGGAAAGTCCTACATCCAAGAATTATGAGCCGATGCAGGCAGCGCTCTCAGACGTGGAGTTATCCAGGAGGCAGCGGGGTAAACGAAGGTGTCCAGCTGAACGTCTCGGCCAAAAAACATCCAAACGTGGGCGAAAAAGGCTTTTGACCAGAGGTGGGTGGCATGTATAATAACCTAAATGTGAAAAAATAGCTTTTAAAAAATGTTGCTTGAGCACTGTGAGTAATGAACAACTGCTAAAGCATGGATGTTTCTATTTGGTTTCTGTGGATTTGTTTTTATCGACATCCGAGCGCTCCATCAGTGATTTTTCTATTGGCAAATGCGGTTTGTTTGTCTAGCACTAGCTCCCAGCAGCACGGTGACATCCAACAAATGAGACAAGAGTTCATCCATGACCTCGATAAGTACCGCATGCACATGTAATGAAAAAAAAGAAAAAAGCTCAGCATGGCATCGGGTTTGGTGTTAATCATCGTCATTTACGTTATGCTGTCATTATGGGCAAGAAACAGCGAGGCCTGAGCCTACACCTGGAAGAAAGCTACGACTGCCCTGATTGGGATGTCAAACCAGGGAAACACGTCTCTCTAAGTTTAGCTACAGTCTCTGGTGGCTCTCAGGATCCAAGCCGCGTAAACGGTTTCGTTGAATCTGTAAGGCACTACGAGGGAACAATGACCAAACTCTAAAGGGCGGAGGGGAATTGGAGGAGATAAAACTGCACACGCATGGTTGACAGTAGCACACAGACAATCACGTTGTACATGCCTATGTTATTATAACCACTTTGTGCAATCACATTGAAAAAAAAAACAGGAACAAATAAATCTACCGGGGTGAAAAAAAACAGATAGAACAGGTGCAGACTGCTACATTCTAGAAACGGGGCCCAGCTAAGACACCTAGAATAAAACTGAATTATCATGAAAGTGAAACAAAGAATTTTTTTTTATAAATACACTAAAAAGTTTGTTGTCCTCTGTTGGTTCGATTTCCGTTAGCCTTCTCTACGTGAGAAGTTGTGAGTGGGTGGAGTCGCCTCTCTTTTTCTCTCCCCACACATGAATGATTTGGAAACACTAAGACAGTTCAAGGCCATCGTTTTTTTCTTAGAAGAGCAGCAGGTTTCTGTATTTCACCTTGTCACTAGATCTTTTAGGATTTCAAACTTCCTGTCATTACCCCCCCCCCCCCCCCCCCCCCGTTCAACAGTCACTTCCTAAATTTATGAGGGGAAATAAAAAGGAAACAAACCAGAAAGCCTCTCCCATCTAAGAAGACGCCTGCTTCAAACTGCCCTGCGAAGCAGCTGAGATGTTACTTTTTTCCACAAAGTAAACCATAAGGTAAAAAAAAAAAGCAAAAACTGGCCATTTCTAAAGAAAGAGAAAAAATAGGAAAATTTGAGCTGTACCCCTCGAAAAGTCAAAAGCCGCCTTTCCCTTCTCAAGAGGCTGTGAATCGTAATTTTCTTTGTCTCTCTGTCGTTTCTTCTTCAGGTTGCACGTGACAGTTCCGTGAGGATTGCATGTTCCTCTGTCTCTGTTCATGTCTGAGGTCGAGGAGAGGATGGACGTTCAGGAGGGGGACTGTGGGGGACGGGGTAGAAGGAGCAGCAGCAGTTCTGGGTCAGGCTCTCCAGTGTCAGTCAGTGTCTTCTCTAGAGGTAAGGATACTGGTTAACCTTGGTGGGGCTCAGTGGGTATCCAGTGTAGACAGTGGAGGCAGGTGAGGCGCTGATGTAGGCCTGGTGGGCAAACTGGGCCTGGTACTGGCTGTGGTGCAAGGTGGGCGACGGCAACACGCGGTGACTCATGCTGACTGGAACCTGGTGGACGATGCTCGGAGGGTAGGTTCCGTGCTGGACCGCGTGGCGTGCCGAGCCCTGCGACGCCACCAGGTGGGCAACGGTGCTGGTGGAGCCCAGTGCAGCAGGGGCTGTGTAGGTGTACAGGTGCGGTTGGCTGGGCAGGTGTGTGGCAGCCAGGTGTGGGTGAACGTTTCCTGTATGAGACGGACTGCTGTGGTGGAAGGAGTATGGGGCTTGAGCAGCGATGTTCGGGGCGATGTAGGCTTGCTGTCGCCGATGTCCTCCGTTTCGTTCAGCCACCATGTGCTGCTGTGCCTGGAGGGGACATGACAGAGGCTTCAGGGATGTTGTTGGACTGATTCTCTTGAGATCTCACAGGATTCAGTATCGGATGATTCTGATCATACCTGGCTGAGATTGAGAGGCTGCTGTTGAAGTGGGTGTGGCCCTGAGCGCTGCGGTCGGTAGGAAACACCTCCAGTCACACCTCCTGGTATGCGATTATTGCCAGATATCACTCCATTGGTGGATTTTACCTTGTATGATGAATTCTGAAGGTTCATCCCGTCTGTTGATGAGAACAAAGAACTTAATTAGAAAGAATTGCCTTCAATATAGCTTCTAAAAAATTTGATGGAAACAACAGACAGCTCTTATCTGTCCAATATGTACTTTTTTATTTTTATAAATGTAACAATTTTTTTATTACTTGAGTAAGAAATGGGTAAGAAAAGGGTTTTACAGCATACATTTTTTTACCTGGCATCAAGTGCTCACATTCATTTGAGACCTCACTGTTCTGTGTTTTTAGAGGGGGGATGATGATGGTGCGTGGGTTCCCGTTGTTGTAGTTGTCCAGGATGGTGTTTTTTGTGTCGTTGCTGTTGTTGTTGTTGTTGTGGTGGTGGTGGTGGGATCTCGGGTCCATAGAGTAGGGGCTGTTGTTGCTCGAACAGTCTGACTCTGGTGAATCGTGGACCGTCACACAGCTGATGACGTTCTTTCTCTGCTTAGAAGATGAGCTGCATGAACCGGGAGCAGGAAGAAGACAGTTAGGTTTGATCAGTTTGTACAGACGTTTAAAGCCATTTTAAAAAAGCTGGTCATGTTTTATTCATCCCACCGTTGGGAAATTTCTGTTACTGCACATAAAGTACATTTAACAGTGTAATGCAATAATAAACAGTCTATATTCACTGTGACAGTAGCCATTCCTCCTGATGCTGAATATTGATCAAATAGATAAAATGCATCATGCAGCTTTTCCCCTTTAGCTTTTAAAACAAAACCATGTTGTCACATGCGTTTTTTTTTTTATTATTTTTGTAGCCTTTAATGATACAATTATACCACGTAATACCATACCAATTTACTAGGGATGAGCGAGTACACCACTATCTGTATCTGTTCAACCATCTAAATTATCTGTATCTGTACTCGGAGTGGGCGTGGCCTAACCCGGAAGTGGGTGTAGTTTAACCGGAAGTGGGTGTGGTTTACATCAATACGTTATTTTAAGTCTGATCAGAAGTTGATATGTGTATTGTTTATGTGAAAACTATTTACAGAGCAGCCTCAGAGTTGAGATTAAATGTTTTTGATCACAATAGTAAAGGAACTATTACAAATCAAGTTTTTCAATAAAATCAGAACATTAATATTTAAGTGCATGAATTAAGAGAGAGAGAGAAGAAAAGATATTTTCTATAGCGCCTCTCAAGATAACAATGACGAGGCGCTTCACCAAAACAAAACATGTAAAATAGAAAAAAGAATTTAGAAAATGATTAAATATATATTTAAAATGAGCAAAAAATAGACAATTGTGATTAAAAAATGTAAAGAAAGAGCGAGAGTGAATAGGAAAGAGGGAGTGGATCCTGAGGAAGAGGAGAGACAGAGAGGAAAAAAACCCCGACCGGAGCGGAGGCAGTGACTGACGCAGCACGAGCCGTTTTCAGCTCTGTCTTGTCAAATGCACCACGTACGTTACGAAAAAAGTAACTTTAAATAACTTTAAAGTAACTTTAAAAAGAAGCTGACTGAAGAAAACATAGGGAGTACTGAAGAAACGTGAACAGTGAAGCAAGCACAGAGAGATCCGTTACTGTCTGTGTGTGTGTGTGTGTGTGTGTGTGTGTGTGTGTGTGTGTGTGTGTGTGTGTGTGTGTGTGTGTGTGTGTGTGTGTGTGTGTGTGTGTGTGTATGGACCGGACGCGGACTGAGCTGTGAGCTCCCGGCTGCAGAATTTTGTGTGTAGGGAGGGGCGGGCGCTCTATTTGACTGGCCAATCACAGAGCGTGAAGACAGTAAGTTACCCAATGAGGAGTTTCCTTCAGCACGATTACAGATATTTACGAGTTTTACTCGTTTCATGCTCGTACTCGTCAAAAATGCTTTATCCGTACCGGATACTCGTCTGAAACGAGTATCCGGCTCATCCCTACAATTTACTTATCCAGCGCAGTTAAAAACCACATGTGAGCTAATAATTATCATCACAAACACTAAGCTGCAAACCTGGAAATGTTAGATTATAAGAATAGCAACATTAAAGGAGCAATAAGTAAGCATAAAGTAATAATGACATCCTGTGGTCAAATTTGGGTGCTGCAGTCCATTTTTTAAACAATCTCACTGCCATTCTGTGAGTTTAATAGCTGTTGCCAGTTATGGACCAGCAGCAGAAGATTATAGATGACAAGCAAGACCAGACAAGTCATACATATCACTTTTTGTCAGGTGTTTTCAAACGGGTTAAATTCAGAAGGATTTTAGGTGTGAATCTGTTTGCTGAGCTGTGTCATCGTCCTTGTGGTTGTTTGTTATTTTATCTTTGTCTCTGTTTTCAGTTTTAAGAAAGAAAGAAAAAAACTAGTGAAATGGATTCCCTGTAGGCTGTAGGGGCTCATTCTTTTAGGATGAGTCTGTTTATTGTTAGGGCGTCTTACTCCCCACTGATTTCATGTTTAATCTGCCTCCCCCAGCCCCACATGAAGACCAGGGTGGAGATTAGTTTGTGTCTCACCTGAGTAGCTAGAGGGAATGGTAAAAGTGGTAAAATAACTCAAAGAGGAAAAAAAACCCACAGGAGGACAGAAGGTTGGAAAGAAGAGACATTGGTGTTGGTTCTGTTTTAACATTTTTTCTTTCTTTTAAGGGAGGGGGTGTTACTGCTGGTGGAGTTTTAAATCCTTTGTTTGTTTTACCATCTTGCACATAGCATAGCATTGTTTATTTTTATAGCACATTTAAAATGCAGCATTGGAGCTGCCCAAAGTGTTGCACAGGCTAAAACAAAACTCAACCATTGCAAGGAGCTAAAACAGAGGATAAAAATCTCAATCAAAGGCAGATAAACCATGATGAATACTAAGAACACAATTAAAACAATGATACAATAAAACAAGTCACTGTCTAAAAGCCAAAGTGTAAAAGTGGGTCTTTAAACGAGATTTAAAAACCGCCAGAGATGGAGCCTGCCGAACTCCAATGGGCAATGAGTTCCATAGCTTTGGGGCAGCATGCACAAATGCTCGTTCACCCCGCGATTTGAGTCTCATCCGCGGCGTGTACAGCAGCAAAAGGTCAGCTGACCTCAATGTGCGCGTGGGCACATATGGAGTGAGCAGGGCAGAGAGGTAGGGAGGTGCCAGGTCATTGAGTGCTTTAAAAACAAAAGTCAGTAACTTAAACTGCACTCTGAAAAAGACAGGGAGCCAGTGAAGACATTCCAGGACAGGGGTAATGTGGCTACGTCGGTGTGTACCCGTCAAGAACCTGGCAGCAGCGTTCTGGACAACCTGCAGCCGATTCAGGACAGAAACCGGAACACCAACGACGAGGGCGTTTGCGTAGTCCAGGCGAGAGGTAATGAAGGCATGAATGACTGACTCCAAATGCCTCCGTTACGCTTTTCGTGTTACGCTCATGTGCTTTCACCATAACAGGTCGTAACACTGACCTTCCTTCCCCATGATCAAGACATATAATATCGTATTGTGATTATTTCATCGTCAAATCCTCATATGTGGCTTATTTAAGTCGAAGCTTGAAAGTTTCGTGATGCATGTCATACTACTACATCAACTCCTACAGGTCAGAACTAACCTGTTGTTTTGTTTGTGCTCATCTTCCTCATCCGTGTCGCTGCTGATGGTAATGATGCTGACTGCGGGGCTGGGTGTGTCAGGGATGATGATGGTCTGTCTGGGGACGTGGTGCTGATGCTGATGGTCGCGAGTGGTGCTGGAAGCCTGCTCCGCTTCATTAGCCCCCCACCCTCCATGGGCAAACCCCTGCGTGGGCGGGCAGTTGGACGCCGAGCCGTTTTGCAGCACGGCGCAGCGAGGGGGAGTGTTCTCCTTCACTCGCTTGGAGCGCTGCGGCGACAGCACAACCTGGGAGGACGACACCTCGTAGGCCGATACGTTCCTTCCAGAAACACAGAGATGAATGCGGATGAGTTTACAAGACTAATGATATTGACAAGGAGGATCAAGGACTTTAGATTGAAGACAAATTCCTGCTGCTGGTGGTTTTTACCAGCCAGAGTGAAGGTTTGTGGGTGTTTCATTACCTGGCGGCCATCTGGTGCTGTTTGCTCTTTTTGGAAGATGAGCTGCTATTGGTTGATGGCTGCCTCATGACATGCGCCACTCCCACATTGAGGGTCTGGCTCGTCGGGAGAGTGACGTGGCCAGTCAATAAGGCCGGCTGCTGCATAATGGGATTATAATGGCTTCCGTGGGGGTGGGAATTCCTGAAATAAAACACAGTTTTGGTTCTGACGATTCAACCGCAGTAAAACTATCAATGCAAAGTGGAAAAAAGAAATACTACTGTACTGAGAAGAGTCAGTAACGCTGGCTGGATAAATAAAGAAGTATTTCCTGTGGTGGACGGTGGGTGGCAGCAAAGACTGAATGAAGACGAAAATGAGAAGAGAGCAAAGAGGGAGGGCAGAGGAGCTGACACCAGCAGCTGCGGAGCGATAGCTCTGCAGAGGAAGTGCGACACTTTCCCAGCGTTCTCTCTGAGGACTACAGAGCTGCCACTGGACAGGAAGGGAGGGAGAGACTGTCTCGTCAGAGATGGACAGCTCTGAATACACGGCCCCCAGTAGTCCTCCATTTGTACAGATTACTGTATATACCTGCATCCCCTTAAGTCCCTGCACATATCCTGTCCCATCTATCTGTTTATTTATCAAGTTAATTAAGTGACAGGCCAGAGGCTTTGTGACGTCTCCACGTAGACATCTAACCCAACTCACGGGGGCAAAATGGTTCCTATTTGAGCACCAGCCTTTATTTGCTCTGAATGATGAATAAGTTGTTTAAACAAATCAGAACTTATGAGAGTCAATGGCATTTGTGAAAGTCCTGTTGCTTACCTCCAGTTGGCGAGAGTCTGTGTGCCGCTCATGGAATCAGGGATGACAGTGGCGTGTTGGACTGAGGTGTGGGTGAGCTGCTGCCACGCTGGAGGCAGCAGGATCTGCTGGGTGCCGCTGGGCCAGGCCTGCTGAGGAGGGGGCACAGGGTCGGCGATAAACAGACATTTAAAGGTCAGCAGCAGCAGACGCGGAAAAACACAAAGCTGCCATGAAATAAAGCATTCAAAAAGTGTGAAAGAGGCTGCGACGTTTCCTTTCAAATGATATGAAACTGTGAACAAAGGGAGCTGGTTGAGTCTAGCCCATTTGTAGGCGAGGGAGTAAACCTAGCCAAAAATATCATACCTGTTTCAAGGAGACATCTGTCAGGAGAAGAGAGACGGCCTGGATTTGATGTTACAACACCTTTTTTGTGTGTGCCTGCGTGCATGTGTGTGTGTGTGTGTGTGTGTGTGTGTGTGACTACATCTTTGACTTGTGTCAAATCAACCTAATTAAAATCCTAGATCTATTCATGTTGCTCTGAAAGAGGCAACATTGTATTTGTGATGCTGAATAAAAGGACTAGATGGTGTAACATGCCCTGAGATGTGCCACAGGGAGTGTGTGTGTGTGTGTGTGTGTGTGTGTGTGTGTGTGTGTGTGTGTGTGTGTGTGTGTGTGGCCCTAATAGTTTAATGCAGTTCTATTGATTAGCACTTTAATGTCCGGACTAATGAATTGTTCCTTTAATACCGTTTGCGCATCTGTTTACAACACCATCACTATGCGCTGCGGCACACTCACGTTTAAACCAGAGACACGGACAACAGAGGAGCAGAATAAACTCATCCGTGCATGAAGCTACTTATTTATCTTCTTACTGTCAGCTTTGTTTTTATGCATCCTTCCGAGTTTCCCTGTCCTTTCTCCGTTGCTTTCCCACACAGTCTTTTTTTTCCTGCTTGGGTCGTGTGGCTTGTGGTGGAAAAGTCCAGAGCTGCAGGGGGTGGGTCGTCTGTGGTGTAACATGACTGCTTTGTCCCTGCAATGATGACTGGCGTCCCTAATGGAACACGCTGCAGCTAAAGATGGTCTTTACATCTGAGACCACATCCAGGGGCTTTTATCAACACACCATTAAGAGACTAATACATCCATCCTCCTCCTCCTCCTCCTGGCTCTATCTTCATTCCTGCCACTCTACATGACTTTCTCACCAGCCGTCTGGGTTGTGTAACCGGCTTGTCTTGCCCTGAAGTGGTAACCCAGTTAAGAGGTTGTTTTCTTCTCAGAGCCCACCATCACTATCAGCAGCTCACTGCCTCCCACCTCGACCTACAGCGCCTGGGTGAAAACCCCTCGGTCACCTTAGGGCTTTCGAAGCCCCTGCTCTCACTCCTCAATTGTTTCCACATTTTCTGCATTCCTGCTCCAGATAAAGGTCCCACTGGTTCCTTTGCCTCCCAGCTTGGCTCCCCGCTCACTGGGCCATCCTGTTCTGTACAGCCGGGCGCTAGGGGCTAACCTTCGATCGGTGCAAAGCGGGCAAAATGAGTCCATGGCTGACAGTGTGCAGAGAGAGGATGAGGTCAAAGGTTGGGGAGAATGCAACCAAAAGGCAAGCACAGCTCCATCATGCCCGTGAGACCTCCCACAGTAGAGGAATAAACAGAGAAAAACACACACCACACACCCAGTTATTAGGTGTGCTGTTCACTGGCCTGTATAAACCATCTGCTGATGTTAACCACAGCCGGTCTTTGTTTAACGTGTGTGCAGACAGAGGCGACAGCGAACACCTGCACGGCAGGGCCAAAATGCATGACTGTTGCATAATTAATTCAACTTAAATTTTCCTCATTTTGTACTTTTGTACTTATTTGATTCAGCTGAACGCAAAGTTTTGTGTCGTGTTGTGATTTCTGCGGTCCAAGCCTCCCCTGACCGCGGGAGATCCTCCGAGGCCTGTAATCTGGAGCGCCTGACTTGGAAGCAGCCGTGGAGCTCATCACCATTTGGTGTCTGACAGATTAACCCACCATAGAAACACAGACATATGCACAGACACACACAGAAGCTGCCTCCATGCCTGCCTACCGGATGATTAACTGGAGATAAGGGATCACTTCAAACTCCCCGGATTCTCTGGGACATTTAAATCCGTCATGGAAATTTCCATAGGGAGGAAGATATAGTGTGGCGGTGGAAGTTGTCGGCAGTTGGGGCATGTGTGCAGATGTGTGTGTGCGTGTGTGTGTGTGTGTGTGGGGGGGGGGGGGGGTGCACAGTCACTCTCTGTATCAGCAAGTAAAACTCCAGACCCACTGAGCAGGCTGCGTTCAAGGCCTTCTCTGTATGAGCGACTCCTCCTGCCTTTGAGTGCATCAGACCGTGGCAGCTTCTGTGCTCAGGACAGGTAAGGTAAATGGGGGGGGGGGGGGGGGGGGGGATACTAAAGCACAGGAAAGCTTGCCCGAATGCACTCAGGAAAAAAAAAAACTGCTGCCAGCAGGGGCAGCATCCCTGAGAGACGTTCACCTTCCATCGATAGACACTATTCTTAGAGAAGGCTTTCAAAGGAAGAGAGAGCTTTGTTTGAATGTGAGCAGTTCAAAGGTCAGAAGGATTCTTGAGCAACCCTGTTACTTTTTAAGATCAAAACGGCTTTATCCGTTCACCTTTTGTGACACCTGAGTTTGTTCCTACCTGTGTAAGGAGGCCAGGTTGAATCTGCAGGGGCTGGGCACCGGGAGCCTGCGTCACTATGGGAACGGCATTCTCCATCCGCACAGAGTAACCGGTGTGCTTGGAAGGTGACGCCTGCAGCCCTGGGCGTAAGTAAACAGAGGTCGTCATCAAATGACCGCAGCAGAAGACCGCAGCAATGGTGCAGGTTTTATTAAATTACTGCAAAAAGATCTGGCAAATGGTCAAATGTCAGAGCCAGTAAAGCTTTTTACCTTGGAAACCTGGTGGGCAGACTATGAGCGCCTGCTGGAAGGGGTCGGGTCGGGCGGCGCAGAGCTGCGGAGCGCCCGGCTGCAGCGGCATGCTTCTCTGGGCCACAGCTGCCATGGAGGCAGCGGAGGGCTGGTAGAGTGTAGATTGGTAGTTTAGTATGGAGACGTCAGGACTTGCAAAGGAAAGGGTGGCATTGCTGGTGGAGGAGGGAGCCAGGCTGGTGGCCTAAAGGAACGGCGGGAGCGAAATAAAAACCATGAGGATGGAGGCGCTTATGGGAATGGCAGGAAAGAGGACATGCTTTGATGAAAGCAGCAGCGTGAATGAGATGAGTCGGAGAACATTTTCTGATTTTAAGAGAAGTTGTGCAGAAATAAAGGAACAAAAAAAAAAAACCATGAAACTGAGAGATGGTAGGTAGAGACGGGAATGATGAAAGCCAACGGGAAAATGAGAAAACTGGGAAAATCATTTGAACAGGCTTTAAGATATGCAGACAGCTGATTTATTAAATTAGAGGGAGAACAAGAATGTGAAAAGAAATGCAATCAATCCCAGAAATGGAATGAAAAAAAGCCATCAGTGACTACATTTAGATGGATTATTTGCTGTTTACTGGCATTAAAGTGCTTTTGTTTTAGAACGTGCTGCTGGGAATGCATGTCTAGAATTAACACAATTAACATGAATTTATAGATTTTACACATTTCTGCAAATATAGATGAAACAGAAGAGTGAATACCTTTTTTACCCAGTTTTACGTAATCGGTTAAAGTTCTGACATCATCGTGGAAGATGGTTTAAATGTGAATGTCACAGTTTCACGCCACCACTGCGATATAAAGCTGACATTTCTCATATAATTATGTACGCTTTGGTAACGTCAACATGTCTTGACTATTAAAAAGGAATGTGGAGTTCTCACATCCACCTGGGAACATCGGAGACAAAAGCTTTTAACAGACATTGTTTTTCAGCCCTTATGTGACGCTGAAGTCTAATTTTAGCCTCCTTTATTAGGCGTTTGCAGAAGAAAAGGGAGGTTAATAAAACGATAGTCCTTTCATTTTTCATCTGCCCTCTTTATTGAGTTTGATGAACAATAGGGGAGAAAAACAATCAATATAGCTTTGTGGTATTCATCAGAAACAAGCGCAAGAGCAGCAAAACACCAGCCTCTTGCAAATGAGTCGAGCTGAATCAATCACTAAGTCAAGGCTGTCTATATGCCCCGAGAATGAGCCGCGGAAAAGAAGACAAGCTGGGGGAATGTTAATCCATTTAATTCACACAAAGATTATGTTTTATTTATTTATTTTTTTCGTCGCTTGCCACGCAGTTTGAGCTCACTCAATACAGCCGCTGATAGAGAACCCTGTTTACTGAAGAGAGGGACGGCTGGAGAGAGCTGGAAAACCTCGCGACCAGACGCTCGGTGATTCCGGTGTCGGTGCAGGATCGGCTCGGGGTGCTTCGACTGTCGATGACGTCAGAGTAGGTGATTGGCTGAACATGAAGCTTACGGAAGTGACGTTATCACGTTATGATTTTGATTGGTCAGAACAAATTTGCGGTCATAGTCTTGGTGGTTCTAGTCCAAAAATCAACACTTTTTGGAGAAAATATGTTTGAATTTCTAAAGGAAATGTAAAATATAAGCAAATGATAAACGGTGACCCTCAAAAGCTCTTGATGTTGATGAAATGGGGCAAAATAAAATGTAAGAACTTTATTGAAAGACACCAAGCAATATTTTGAGTCAAAGAATGTGTTTAGATAACAACTAAGGAATTATACAGACAAACTCCACATTAATACAAACAGATGTGGCTTCACATATAAGAACTGTTCTATTGTTTGTCAGTCCGGTGTTGGTTTTATGCAGTTTCTCATTCTTTACAAAACAAAGATAATATGGTGTTTTATTAACAAATTACAATTATAAAGAAAACATTTAGGTGTTAACAAACAAGAATTTATTAACAAAACTGCTGATGTCTTTCCAAAACGTGTGTGTGAAAGCCGAGTAGATTTGCAGGAATGTGACGTCATCGGCAGTCGAAGGACCCCGAGCCGATCCTGTACCGACACCGGCAGAAGCCCAAAAAGTCAACCGTTTCGATTCACACACGGTAAAGGGAACAAAGGGGTAAATCACCACAGGCTCAAAAAACCACAGAAATGGGGGAAAAGGTAGAGGAGACAGGATAGGAGTAAGAGGAAAAGGAAAAGAAAGGAAGCCTGGAAAAAAGGGGAATCTTGAGGCCTGAAAGCCCAGGGATGCTAGGCAAGCAGGAAGTGGGGCTTGTCATGTGTGTGATCAGCACACATGACAAGCCCCACTATGTGACAATCCCACAGGACCTGGGGCACAGACAGACATTCAGGCAGACGGATATCTATGCACCAAGGCAGAGAAGAGGGCGGTAAGCTTGAAAATGTGCAAACAGGAAAAAGGAACAGACAAAAACAAAACAAGGACACAAACTGCAACTCAGTGGCTGTTAAGCTGTTTAAACTGAATGCACCATTGTTAGTTTTGATTATTCAGCCCTCTTCGCTCTTACAAACTCCCATAATAACGGCATCAAATGCCATCATGGAAAAAACAATGAACCTCAACTAAACGTGTTTACATGCTTCCATCTGACCGCATCGAAGATCTGGATCAGCGTTTGACTCCAGAGACCCAGATAGATGATGAGCTGTCTGTTTTTCTCTCTTACCTGGCTGTGCACAGTGTTCAGCTGGTTGTTGAAGGTCATGGTGAGATTGGTGGAGGTGCTGGGGGCCACGTGGGTGATAAAGGGCGTTTTGCTCTGGTTGACTGTGTCATACATGTTGACACGCCGTTTACAGATCTCCATGTTTTGGAAGCATGACTTTACGCTGCGTAGACAGAAAAATCGGGAGACAGTTTGATCAAGATTTTGCATTTCTCTGTGTTTATTTTTTTATTTCCTTTTCATCTTAATCCTATCTTGTCCTCTTCCTCCACTCATTTGGGCCCGGGTCACAGGTGCTGACTATTCTCTCCGTGGGCTCCTCTGCCAGCTCCTTCAATGAGATCCCAAGCATTTCCAGGCCAGCCTAAAGATATAATCCCTCCTCCGGGTCCAAGGTTGGCCCAAAACACCTCTAAACCATCACAGCTAAAGCTGAGGAATAGCGGCTCTAACTGCATCCTGGATGTCTGAGCTTCTCACCCTACCTCCGTTTTGGTCACCTGTATTAGTGATCTTATTCTTTTGGTCATTACCCAAAGCACATAGCCAAAAAAAGAGGATTGGAACGTCGTTTTATCCCTTCTTCTTCCGGCTTAGCTCCTTTCTCAACACAACAGACCGACTCAGTGCCCGCACCAGCCTGCTGCTGTATTTGTTCCTCTAGCTGCAGTAAAGAAATGAGCACGTACTGTGTGCTGTGTGGGAAATCAAGGAGATGTGACATGGTAACGAAGGGGTGGTTAAGCGTTTCGATGGGGGTGATCCTCTTGTCGGCATCAATGGTCAGCATCTTGGTTAACAGGTCGATGAACTCCCTCCTGTCTGCCTTCTCCGCCAGCATGTCGCTCCCTTCCAGGTCTGACGTCATGTTCACCTGAAGGCAGAAAGCAAACACCTGAGCTCAGGGATTTTTGGCGATCCTGGAAATCCCCTCTGTGTGCTCGTGAACGGAACGCAAGGCCTCGTGAGTTAGTGAGAGTGCCACAGAGCCCGGCGATAACCTTGCACCTAAGTGGCATTATAAACATTTGCACTGGTATTCATAGCACGGCTTCAAATATGCGCTGGCGCCTTCTCGGAGATTTTTATCTATTCCTGAGATGTGAAAACAAACAAAATCCATGAAGTCAACAAACACTGCCACTGGCCGGTCTGTAGAAAAATCCCCTTCACACACACACACACACACACACACACACAGAACACCGTTTTGTACTGGGAAAACCAGCTGACATTAACAAACATGTTCTGTTTTGGGAATTTTGGGAAGCTGCCTTGGAACGTCACTTCAAACTGTAATAAACACTGTGGCTTAGGCTGTGGATAAATACTGGGCAAATGAACAGACTTCTGCTTTAACGCTGCTAGCAGAGGATCGATTTGTTATGAGGCAATAATTACGTATGATGTTAGCGCTACTTTTAGCGTCTGGAGAGGAACGAAGAAAGAGGGACAAGGTCGCTGTATAGCCGGTCTGCGAGCGAACCGACTGTCAGGCGGAGCGAGGACGGACAATGTGGCAGGAGACAGGCAGCCTTGTTTATTGTGACTGCTGTGGTGAGCGAAGCAGGCCTGTTTTTCATAATGACACGCTTATCTGTAGGCCTGCTCCAGGGTCTATCAGATGTGCTGCCAGTCAACATGGAAAATCTGATTCAATCTTTTATCTACATGCAGGCTATTCAGCCTCTGCGCCCGTCCCTCTTCGCTAGCCATCTCCACTGGCTTTGATAAAAGGAGTAATCTGCAGAAAGAGGTGAGAAATAATCATGCTGTTCTCTGCTGGGAGATGACTTTGGGGAAATGTACACAGTTAATGCAAAAAAAAGATTCAACGTAATGAATAATTCTCCTAAAAACTGATAAACTGTTTCTACATATCTGCATTTTGGTTCAATAAAAAGCGCTTAGGTTACTGGAGAGCACCGGAAGGGGAGTTTAAATAACACTGTGTGCTTTGAGGAGCATAAACGTGTCATTCTGCAGGAAAGGCCGAAGTGGAAAATGTCAAGAAGTTGGACGGATCAGGCTGTGCCGCAGGAAGAGAACGACCTGCAGGATTCAAAGCTACGTTTCATCGCTCATTGCCTTTCTGAGATTCAATTGCTTTTTTTTTCTTTTGAGTAGAAGAGAAAGGGTTAAAAAAAATAAAAGGTGCATTTTCATGTAATAAAAGTGAAAACCAAGTAGTTCCTCCTTCCAGTCCTTCACGCTTCTTTCTGCTCTTCACACTTCTCTCTTGTCAGAGGAGATGCTAAAGAACTGCAGATCAAAGTGAATCCACTTTCGAGCGGTTCCGGCCCCGTCCATCTACATCTCGCCCCTCGCACGGCTCTGCATTTACTGTAAGTTGGTGTCTGATTTACTCAAATTAGGTATCCTCGTGACTAAAGCCTCCGCACGTTTCCCGCGACTGAAAGAGGGGTTCATTATCTCTTCCTGGCACCCATCCCCTCTGTGTTGCAGGGCCTTCAGCTATATCATCCATTATGCACGCAGAGACAGATGTCCACAATGCTGACTTGCTTATCCGGTCAGGATGGTGATAGCGGGGCAAAGACTGGGAGTCTTTCTCGAACATTAAGCCTCCTGTGTTTTTGTAGTAAAATGGCTGCAAGGACACACAGCTTGAAGCATGGGAGGTATAGATGACCCATGGGGATATCATACCACAGCAGGTTAGCCTCATTAGGCTGCTCGTCTCGTGTGTGTGTGTGTGTGAGTGTGTGCGCTGTAACTGTGGACTCAACAATCCCAGGAAGTGATACCATCTTGTCCCAGTTGACCACGCTTCTCCAGACTTGCCTAACAGCAGCCCTGGGCACTCCTAAACAACCGTAATTGTCTCCCATAATTTAAGTAGCTACATGTGTGTGCGTGCCCACATGGAGGGCTAACAGCGGCTGCTGTTTGTTTCTAATAAGGATGACCATCTAGAAAAAATGGGAATCCACTTGCCTAAAACTTTTCTATTGGCAAGCTTCAATCAGGAGCTCAGTCACGAGACAAAAGACAGAGTTTTGAAAAGTTAGCGGCATCTACCAGCAGAAGGGAGTGGAGCTGAACAAAACATTTAATATCCGTCATTGTCATATTTGTCCTAAAAGATGACAAGAAAAGCAACACGTTGCTTCTGTCTTTGTAATAACAACACATTTATGGAACAAATTTCATTTGGGCTTCAGGGCAAAATGGAAAGCATTTTCTTCAGCCTATGTTAGTTATGGTGTCCCCCAAGGATCCATCTTGGGTACCAACTTTTTTTTACACCACGCGTTCTTTCCCTGGGTCACATTTCCCACAAATATAAGAAAAAAATTCTCGTTATCCAGGTGACACAGCCATATGTGGCCGTGAGTCCTGAGAGCCTTACACCCATTGTGTCAGTCTCCAACCGCATTAACGAAGTGAGATGCTGGATGGATTTAAGCTGCCTTAAGTAAAATGATAGTGAGTCTGGAAGGATTATTTCCAGTCCTGCAAACACCTCTCTAAATCTAGCATATTATTAATAGCTTAATCATTCACCCTCTAACCTCATGCTGGGAATCAAGGAGTTATTTTTGACTGACACTTAGCAGTTGACAGACAGATTAGCTCTGTGACAACGAGCTGAAGCAGTTTGGGAACATTCCTAAACTAACATCAAGTCTGTCCAACAGTGACAGGAAGCTTGTCTCCAGGTTTGGTTTGGAACACTCACCCCTCCCCTCGGGTATCTTCCCTGAGACGCTTCTGCCAGAACCGGAGACCCAAGGAAGCCAGAGGAAACAAGATAGTGCTAAACACCAGTGTTGGGAACGTTACTTTAAAAAAGTAATTAGTTATAGTTACTGATTACTTTGTCAAAAAAGTAACTCAGTTACTAACTGAGTTACAAGATCATAAAAGTAACTAATTACCAACAAAAGTAACTACTTAGTTACTTTTTTCATTAAAGAATGCAAGAATTACTACAATAGTAAAATATAAATGACTAATGACTGGAACATAATAAAATGTATGTCCAAATGTTTTATATATACCTGAATAATTTAAACAAATACACACTTAACAGGAGGAACTACTAACAGGAGCATTACACTAATCTAGACTATTAAAAGGTCACTGTGTGATATTTAACAAACACCCAATCAGCTCAAATTTAAAATTGCAAAAAGAAACACCTGTAAAGGTTCCCGAGCCTTTAAATGGTCTCTCAGTCTAGTTAAATTACAGAAATAAATGTAATTTTGCACAGCATTCTAATTTTTCCAGCTTCACATAATTGTGTGTTTTTAGGTGCATTTCTGTTGCTACTAATCTAGTAACGGTTAAATAAATAAATAAAATCCTTTAAAATGACACTAGAAGAGGCACAAGCCTGATGGAGGACTTAAATGTACTAACTTGGGTCAGACCCAACCACAGAAGAGCTGAAGCTGGGTGGTAAACACACACAGGTAGTTCTAATAACACCTGAGCTCCATGACGTTTGAGACTGATGCATCAGTGTTACAGCGGGACTAAAGACATGATCAGAAACAGGTTACAGCTGGATGATCTAGGAAGGTAGAAGATCAGGACGTCTGAGCGGTGAACAGGTGAGCGGACCTTCGGGACGTCCCGCTGTCATGCTAAGGGCACGGCTGCAGACCTGCAGATTCGCTGCTGCACGCATTTCCTTATCAGTAACAGGAACGACGTTTTGATAAAAGAAGACGTAATTAATTACTTTGCTTGTTACAGAAAGAAATATTTTTTGTTAACGCGGTTATTTTAAACGGAGTTATTCCCGTTGGGTCTACAGAATGCAGCGACTGAGACCGTGAGGGTCTCCGCCCACCCGGCCAATCATCATCGTGTTTGTAAGCGCGTTACCGACACCTCTCTCTCCCTGGCTGCAGCTGAAGTGTGCCGGTCAGAAAGCCTCACGCTGCTGCTCAACGTTCGACAAGCACATAGTAACGCACAACGTTCCGTCCCCAGTAACGGTAACGGCGTTGCAACGGCGGGAAAAGTAATTAATTAGATTATTCCGTTACCTATAAAAGAACGCTGTTAGAAACGCCGTTATACTTAAACGGCGTTACTCCCAACACTGCTAAACACGTGTTGCCGATTTCTATGTCCAAATGTCTTTTGTTGTCTGTGACTTCAAATGGTGTTCTTCTTTTTGGGACTCAAGTAGTTTGTAGTCTGGGACAGCGGTAGCTCAGGAGGTAGAGCGGGTTGTCCAGTAACTGGAAGGTTGCAGGTTCGATCATGGCTCTGACTAGAGAATGATGCTGTTGTGTCCTTGAGCAAGACACTTAACCCACCTTGCCTGCTGTGGTTGGGGGGACTGGTGGCGCCGGTGTTCGACAGGCCTGGCCTCTGTCAGTGCTCCCCAAGGCAGCTGTGGCTGCATCGTAGCTCATCCTCACCAGAGTGTGAAAGGTTGGATGACAGATTGCATTGTGAAGCACCTTGGGGGGTTAAAGTACCCTAAGAGGGTGCTATACAAATACAGGCTATTAAGTGGTAGCAGCTGACTGATTCTCCTTCTCTGATATTATTGAGTGGAGAGCTTCTCACACCAGAGGTGTTCTGTTGCTTAATACGTGAGCGTGTTATGAGTGGAAGACACAGGGAAGTGCTGGTGTTCGGCGAGACTGACAACTGGATGGTCCAATTTTTGTTTTCAGCCCCAAAAGTGTTACTGGGGAAGGTTTTTAGATTTAATAATTACTTTTTAAATCATTATTTAATGTTGTTAAGAGGCATGGCAAAAATGTTTTAGGCTAATTTGTTTTCCAAATTTGCCATAACAGCTTTAATAGAGGAGCAGTGTCTCCCCCCCCCCCCCCCCCCCCCCCCATTTGAAGGCTCAAAAACAGCTAAAGACAAGTTTATTTTCTTTGAATTTTGCATCTTTAGTGGAATCTCATATTCGAAGAAAATAAAGGAAATATTAAGAAACCGAAGTCCTTTTAGTATAATAGCTATGATATTCTTTTTATTTTAATACGTAATTATATAATATTAATGAAAATTATATAAACTTACCCTTGCCACCTGCAGATGCAACACTAGAGGGCAGTAGATGTGTATAGGACAACTTGCGGCTAGTTTTTGATGAAGGTGCTAATCCTAATACATTTACTTCAAGATGGTTTGAGGCTGGAAGGGGTTGGATGTGAATTTGTAACAATAGTGCACAAAGGGTTAAATGCATTTAATTGGGTTGCTGTTTAATCTACTGTGTTCCTTTATTTATATTCATGTTTTAATACATTTAACGGTTTAGGTCGTGGGTTTATGGCGGCAGCACTTTGATAAACCTTGTTGTCCTAACTATCCTTTATAAATAAAGTTGAGTTTTAATGAGAACTATTTATAGATGCACTCACCTGCCACTTTTTTTAGGTACAATTCTTCAATAGCTTGCTAACATAAAAAGTATATTTTGTAAATAAACGAATGTGTTAATAATAATAATAATAATAATAATAACAACAACAACAACAACAACAACAACAATAATAATAATATTAATAATAATGGAATTCTGTACATAAGATGATATTCTGTAATTTCTGGTATTTGGTTCAAATTTGTGTGAGAAATATAAAAGTTTGGGAGTATTTTATATTAAGTGGGCTTACCCATTACACGCTGACACGAAACGCAGATGTACCAAGACGAAACAAAGCCGCAGCACTCCCCACAGCTCAAACACGACAGCAAACTACAAATCAAACCTGTTAACCAAACGCACGCTCGCTTCAAATGTCTGTAAGTTATTGAGTAGCAGTAAAGCAAAATGAATAGCAGCAGGGTTGAGCGAAGGGATTCAGAGAACAGCTGCTTTCATTTCACTTGGTAAAAATCTACGTATGGCTGCAGCTGGAGGTCAGACGTTGGCAGGATAAATATTTAAAAGGATTTCACATATTTGATAGATCATTCTCAGGATGTGATGGATAAAACTGGCCCTAGACCCGAACAAAAACCATCAAAGAGGTTTCTTTACTCATAAGTCGAGTGGACGTGATAGAAGAAGAACAAATGGGCGGAGCAAAAAGCTAATAATACATCTTTTGTTCCATTTGTGCGATTCTGAAACGGCATACCTGTGCCATATCATCCAAACAGTTGAAGATGTACTTGCGAGCCTCCTTGGACTTGATCCCCGTTTCACCCTCGTGGTCCTCTGCAGTCTGCAGGAGACAAGAAGCAGATGTTCCACTGAAATACCATCAGACTTCCCCTTTGGAAATACACTATTTACATTTGGCTCATTACAGCCTCTTGCTGTTGATACGCCGCAGACCTCGTCTTCCCCTCTGAGCAACCCTGGGGTAACACACACACACACACACACACATGCACACGCATGCACACACACACTTTTCTAAAAGTCAGAACAACGGGGGGGGGGGGGGGGGGGGGGGGGCTGTATGTGGAGTTACACACTATATTTTACAAACACTACTACAATACATCGACCATACAGCAGCTTTACATCCATGCACCTACACACACACACACACACACACGCACACACACACGCGCACACACACACACGCACGCACGCACACACACACACACACACACACACACACAGTATAAACATGTCACTACTGTGTTTCAACAGATGCAGATTTACACTAAACATCTCTCTGCTGACCTGACTGTGGAGATCTCCTGACTTAACACAAAGTATCTTTAATTACAGTCAGCAACGTGACGCAGCTGCAGCTTTCGCAGAAACACATGGCAAGGTCAAATTAAAGCTGAGCAGTCACTCTTCAAAGAGGGAGGAGAAAAACATCTTCAGGAGGTCTTGATTTTTAACAAACCAGATGCAAAACAATCTTTGGACGAGATGCAGCACCGTGCGTCAACACGGCCGCGTTTATGCTTAGAGTGCAAAGGAAAGCCAGAACAATGACTTTATTAGCCGTATTTTAACACAGTAGTACATATTTGTTTTGTATTATGGACTGGTTCTGTGTAACAAATGTTCATTTAACATTCCCGAGCTGGTAGCCATGGGGGTATGTTACAATGTTGTATCAACAGTAATAAAATTAAGTCAAATCCTGCAGACTGAAGCGCATCGCAGTAACAGGATTCCTAAATATTTGCAATAATCTAACTCAAGTACTTTCAAGGTAAGTTTACAAGATTTTTAGCACCTTACAAAAGTGATGGTTTACTTATATCTGAACAGGGTGTATGGTATTTGCTCAAATATGACATTTTGCCTACTTTTTCTCACGAACGCCAGTAATAAGCTGCAATCGGTTCCTGTTCATTTCACGAATTTTAATATAAATGATCTTATTTAAAAACACTGTTTAGAATTTCAAACACGTTGCTCTAAAAAATCCGTTTGCTACATGTCTGAGCGGCAAACCACTCTCTATTATTGAGTGGCCCACAAGGAGAGTCTGATGGAGAGAATGATGGTTAAACTTCTGAGTTCACACAGATCCGTTTAGCCTAAAATAGACTCTCACTTAAAAATAAAACCATCATTTTGGCCTTCGATGTGTCACAGATGTACCAAAATAAGAGCCTAACATATAGAAACAACCGTCAGAACATGGTTAAAAACAACCTGGAACCGATGTTTTTTTTAACCATTTTTACTCTTTTACTATTTTGCATTTATTACAATTTCTGGTACGGCTTCCTTTTACAGCCCCGTAATTACTAAGTACTTACATGGTAATTACATAGTAAGTTAAAGTGTATTATTGTTTCTGAGTTCTTAAACAATTATTACCATGTAACACAGGTTCAATTCTAGTTTTTATTTTATTAACTCATTCACTGCCAGAAGTTTCCTGATCGCTAAAGCCCTTCGCTGCCAGCGTTTCTCACCGTTTTTACAGTTTTTTTAAGAGCGACAGAACGTTGCGCGCTAGGATGATGTCGAAGCCAAAACTACCAAAACAAAGCGGAGACTCACCTCTTACATCAGGAAGAAGCCGCACGTTTCAAGCATTATCCGTTCTTTCATAATCCGTTGTCGAACTGTGATCGGCAGAAGCTTTTCTGGTTCGCACCTCACTTTTTTTTTTTTTTACAGCAGGGGCCCAAAACGATCTCCTAACACATGGATTTTCTGCTTCCTGATTATGTGACATGTGACATATGCGGATGAAGATTGGCTTCAGAGCTGAGATGTTTGTTCTCTCAGCGCGGGGGCTCGTTCCGACGCCCACACAGTAAAAAATAAAATGCAAATGACGACTTTAGTCGTCGTTGGCAGTGAATGAGTTAATCATTCCCAGTAAATACTGCTTTACACAATAAATAAACTTTTTTTTTTACAATTATACACCTTAGTTACACAATAATACACTTTAGCTTGCTATGTAATTACCATGTAAGTACTTAGTAATTAGGGGACTGTAAAAGGAAGTGTTACCATATTTCTAATAATTGACTTCCTTTTGTGATTTAATCATTTAAAAATGCTTTTTTATGTTCTGCTTAATAACTGTAATTAATAACTGTCAGATTTCTTTGTTTTAAATAATTTCTTTTTACATGTCTTTTATTTCTTTGTTTATCATATGAAGCAATTTTTGTTCTTCTAATGGTACCTTGAGTCTCCAGAGAGGATAGGTGGAGTCTGGATCTCTGTTGAAGAACCTGGTGGTCTTTGTCCCTGCACTCAGGAGATACTCTGCCGGAAGACCCTGCGTCTGGGAAATGTACCGGATCTGCAAGAGACAAACGGAGACATGAGACGGAGATTTCCAACATATGCTGCAGTTTAACTGAGGAGAAACAGGAAGTTTTTTTGGCCTTTCATCACCTGCTGATGACAATTGCCTTTAGTAAGTTTAAGAACACAATCTGACGTTAATCTCTACAGCCTTTTAGGGTGGAAATAGCCAGAGCAGCTAAACAAGATCTAAGATTATTAGTCAGATTTGAGATTTGCACATTTCCCAGCCTGTTTGTGGATGATTGAAAGCATCATGACAGCATCGTAGTCTGGATCAGAGGTGCTGCACTAACTGGATACGCTGATCAGAGGGATTTGTTATCATAAACAAGAAGATCAGCAAAAATCATCGATGATTTCCACAAAAAAAAATCACTTTTCACCCAAATTCAATCATAAATTTGTGAATATTCTTCAACCCAATCCACCCTGGAAGACGTCATGTGTTACCTGATCATACTCCGAAGCTCCGGGGTAGAGGGGCCATCCCAGAAAGAGTTCAGCTATCACACAACCCAGCGACCACATGTCTATGGCCTCGCAGAACGGCAGGCCAAGGATGATCTCTGGAGCCCTGTGGACAGATTAAACACGCTGATGTCAGAGGTCAGACGCTTTTTTACTCATTCTGGATGCGTTTGACAAATATGCATGAAATGAACAAAAACAAAAAAGTAACAGAAGGGTCAGAGGAGGAAAGAATCCACACTGTTGATGTGGGAGGGACTGTTTACCAGCATTCCTAAAGCTAACCCTAATTAGGCAGCACGAACATAGGTACGCATTTCAGCATCAGACTAAAGATAAATACGGAGAAAGTTGTTTCAAAAGCTGCTTCGTAGCTCTGAGAACTGTTCTCACCTAAAGCTGCAGTGAGTGGGATTTTACTTTTTATGTCTCTTTAGGGTGACTCTTTCTATACAGCTGATGCATTAATCACCATTTTCTGTTAATCAGCCCTTAAAGTAATGATGCAGGTTTACAAAATTCACAACTAGCAACAAAAACATAAATTAACTACAGCTATATTTGAATTTTAACTGAGCTTGATTTAAGTTATTGTTCACAGTTTGTTCATATGTGTGCATGTTCAGAAAATGTAATTATAACTGAAATTTCTGTCAGCAATAAGCAACCGTTTGTTTATCGTTAACCTAGAACTGAAGCGTGGATAAAAACAAAGTCATTCAGATTTGATCCGATTTTCTATCCGTCAATACAATGAGAGGGGGGCATTATTAACTCATTCACTGTCATTGACGACTGAAGTTGTCATTTGCATTTTTTTACTGTTTGAGCATCGGAACGAGCCCCCGCGCTGAGAACAAACATCTCAGCCCTGAAGCCGATCTTCATCCGCATACGTCACAGATCACATGATCAGGAAGCAACACATCCATGTGTTTGGAGATCGTTTTGGGCCGTTCCTGTAAAAAAAGTGAGGCGCGAACCGGAAAAGCGTCTGCCGATCACAATTCAACAACGGATTATGAAAGAACGGATAACGCTCGAAACACGCGGCTTCTTCCTGATGTAAGAGGTGAGTCTTCTCTTTGTTTTGGTTGTTTTGGCATCGACATCATGCTAGCGCGCAACGTTCTGTGACTCTTAAAAAAAACAGTAAAAACGGTGAGAAACGCTGGCAGCGAAGGGCTTTAGCGATCAGGAAACGGCTGGCAGTGAATGAGTTAAGGATGTGTATTGGTGAAATCATGGCGATACGATATGTATCACAATATATTGCGATACATTCAGTCAGACGATATTAGCGAGTTTTTAGACTGAATTTATTGCAGGAAAATTAAATAAACAGTCCAAACTGAAACTTAACATGTTTAACATGAGGTATGTAAACCGTAACAGAGGGATTTTCATTCCAGTGATGGAAACAAAACCCATGGCAAAATACACAAATGCATGAAAAGTCTTCCAAAAAGTAGATACACTGCTTTTGAATATCGATGCAATACCGCTGGAAAAAATATCACAATATGTTGCCGTATATATCTTTTCTTACATCCATAGGCATTATTGTATTCTTTGGTACAGATGTGGTATTAGCTCCAATAAACACAACAATAAAGCTCTTGAAGTGAACTGAAGTCCTTGTGCATTATTGTGTCCGTACACATAAATTAGCAGTGCAGTTCAAAGGAACTCAAGTCAGATCCTGGAAAGTTCCCCCCCAGCCTCACCCCTCGGGCCTCGGCGGGATCTGGTTATGGAAAACAGCATGTGTGGAATGATGCTTCAGGACTTTATAGAGCAGCAAAGGGCTGGAGGTAGCAACGTCAAAAGAAAATGCCCCCTACACCCGCTTTCCTGCCTACTGATGCAGGGGTAAACAGTGCAACTATTTGCTATGACACATGTTTATGTTTATGTTTATTTATTTGGCAGACGCTTTTATCCAAAGTGACTTACAATTGTTAACCTATAGGGCATGTTGTGATCTGTGGGGGAAACCGGAGTACCTGGAGGAAACCCACGCATGCATGGGGAGAACACGCAACTCCACGCAGAAAGGCCGCAGCCGAGTTTCGAACCAGCGACCTTCGTGCTGCGAGGCAACAGTGCTAACCACTGCGCCACCATGCAGCCCACATGAAGGTGGAATGAATCGTGAGAGACAATAATGGGCTGTACGTGAAAGTAGAAAGGATAAAAGAAAGTTTCAAAGAGCCAGAGACGCAAATACAGAAGGGGAGAAGCATCGCTTCACACACTGAAGAGCTCCTGACACAGAAGGTGGTCACTGGGGTCTAAAGGGCAGCGATGGAGCTGACACCAAAGACAACACTCAGGCAACAGTATCTTAGGGCGCCATTACACTCCAATACGAAGTAAACATCGCACACAATGAGCTGAGACGTTTGTCAAAAGGCTATCAAAGAAGCAGAAAGGAGCCTGCTGGGAGGTGATAACAGAGTGAACAGAGAGGTCTGCTGAAGGTAGGAAAGGAGAGAGATGGACAAAGGGGCCAGGGTCAGCATGATCCTCCTCCAGCGGCTCGTTAGGCGACTTTCACTGAGGACTCGGGGAAGAGGGGACAACAACGGCTGCACACAGAAATCACAAGAAAGGTGATGTAATGCAAAGGAGCCATAGCTGCTTTTTAGTAAACTCAAATCACAAAAAAGCTGCAAACAGTGCTTTACAGATACAATAAAACGCACAGAAATGGAGGCGTTCTGTTTTATTTATGCTTCTGTGTCGTTTGTTCCTTCAGGTTTTGGCTTTCGAGTCTGTTTCGAGGCTGACAGCAGAAGCAGGCAGCACAGTGGCTAGTTATTTTTCCCCCTAACAATATAATGAAACCAATATAACAACCCAGCAGGGCTGAGCTGCATAAAACACAGACAAAGAAAGGATTCCCATATTTAAAACGAAAGAAACACACAACTGATTATTGTCGCAGTTTTACCTCCTTGAAGGTTTGGTCATTCTGAAACTGAATCATCCAAACGAGTTGTTAAGGAATTCCCCTCATCCCAGTCAGATCACTGCCTTTCTACGAAAACACACGTATCACAAGACTTATGCCATCACTGCAGCGAGTGCATGCACAAAGGAGAAAAGAGGGAGAATCTAAAGTAGTAAATATGTGATCAAAAGGCTGTCCTCCTATCACAGGAATGGGTGACAACGGCATCGGTTTAATGGGCTGATTTGGCTTTCCCACCATCTGACACGCGTGGCAGGCTCTGCAAAACTTTGCTATATCCCGTTTCATCCCTGGCCAAAAAAAAAATGATCTAGGATAGACAAATAAGTTTTCTTCACCCCCAAGTGTCCTGACCATGGACGTAATTTTGGGGGGGGACAGGGGGGACATGTCCCCCCCCACTTTTTCCAAAGTCAAGTTTTGACCCCTGCACTTTTTACCATCCAAAAACAACATTACGCTATGTTAAATTGACACTGGTTGCGCTCTAGGACCAAGCGGAAAACAACCGTTTGTGTTGAAGCCCATTTCCCATTAGAGCATACTGTAAAGATCCCCCCCCCCCCCCCCCCCCCCCGTGTCCCCCCCACTTCTAAAGTGAAAATTACGTCCATGGTCCTGACCATCTACTTTCATGAGCTAAGGCTATTATCTGTCTTCGAAAACACTCTGGTATTACAATTTGGCGTACCACTCCCCAGGGAGCTTTCTAAAGTAGTAAATATGACAGGTTTTTATAAAAACCAGTCCCACAAATCCCTCTGAAATTAGGTGTAAATGGAATCACTGCATGTTGTCCAGCCTTTAATTGAGAGCCTCTATGCATGGATGTAGCTACTTAGGGACCTGAGCTGATTTTGTGCTTTGATCCATTTCAGCTGGAGACTTCTCGGGTTATTCTCCAATACCGGCCGAGAGAGATAAAGACAGAGACAGAGGGAGGGAGGGAGGAAAGGAAGGATGGGGCTAATGTTGGTGAGCATGATCTGAAACCACAAATGCAAATGTGCCCCTACCAAAGCACCTTTTCCATTGCATGCAAAGCGCTCTTCATCTGCTGCTCAGGCAGGCAGGGCCTTCGCCGGCTGCACACATCTGTGCAGCTCACAAACTTTGCAGCTTTTCTGTGCCTTTGCCTCTCTAAATGAACATTAGATGATGGCTTGTGCTGTTGGGGGGCGGCTTCATTGTAATGCTAAATAACTTATTGGGGAGATTCACCATATTTCTAAAACTGTCTGAACTCTGGTGCATTATGGACAAGACAGATTTTCATCATTTTAAATATGTATTTCTGAGACTATTCTGCAATAATATACGATATTTTCCATACAATGAATCATATTTACGATGTTGAGTCAGCCTTTAGTTAAACATGCTGAATTCAGCTCACGCTGATAATCTTTTGCCCCGTGACCTGCGATCCACCTAGCTCAGGGTCAACTTGTGCACCTACTGCAAAGTGTTTCTGCTGGACTGGTGGGAAACTTCTTCCCGACCTTATATGCTTCATACTGCACAGACAGCATGCAAACCACGGCTAGCCAAAAGCTTTCATTGGTTTTGAATGCAAACCCAATGGCATGAGAGGACTCAGTGTCCGGGCTACTGCCTCTGACAGCACCGGCTCTTGACAAAAGAAAGAGAGAGGGTGGGATGGGGCGAGCGGGGTAGAGTCTGCATGCTGACATCCTCCCAGCTGGCCTGGTCATTGATGAGCCTCAATCCCCTTGGGAGACAGAGATGGCACAGCTCATGAATGAGACCTTTCTTGTGCCACCCCAGAACACCCCCTTCACCTCGGCCCTTTCACCCGTCCCCTTTGCTGGCCCAGCCAGCCCCAACACCTCACCCAGACTCACCACCCAACCCCTCCTTACCTCCCCTCCGCCAGCAAAGCCCCCCTTCAAACAAGTTAGCGCTCCCCTCCCCACTGCCTCCCCATCACCTCCCTGCCCTCTGCTCTGTTGAACTGCGCTCTGCTGGTCTGACACACACACACACACACACACACGCACGCACGCACACACACACACACACACACACACACACACACACACACACACGAAGATACACAGCTATATGCACACAGCTGACATCATAGGCTGTGTGCATGTCAGGATGTATCC